GTTGGAAAATGAAATCAGGGATGTCTCCAAACAAGAAAGTGCAATAGTTAGTGACTCCAACTACCTGCACATTGATCAGATAAATACATGTGCCAGTTCTGACAAAGAGGTTGCATTGCTTGTTAACCTAGATGACTGTACCCCAGATGCTTGGTTCATGGAACTAACCAAAATGGAGGCAATCTTGGATTTAATCTTGGATTATGTACTATTGTATTTCAATGTATTTTATCATGTTGTAAGCCGCCCCGAGGTTTCGGCAAGGGGCGGCATAGAAATGCTATAATAATAATAATAATAATAATAATAATAATAATAATAATAATAATAATATTCGTAGGTGGGGTTGCTCAGGACCTAGTACAAGATGTAAACATTGTTGAACCAGTTGGAAACAGTGGCCACAGTGCTATGAGATTTATATATATTTAATTGAAAGATTGCTAAAGAGGTCCAAAGCATTTACATTTGATGTCAAAAGAGGAAAATTTATTTAAAACAAGGGAACTGTTACAATAGAAGTTGAAGGGGGAGGGGTCAAGAGGGTTGAAAATCCTCAAAATGCTTGGAGATTACTCAAAACCACAACAACAGACATTCTGGTAGTGGCTGTATTCAAACATAATGACAATGCATTGCAGGAATGGCTTGCTCTTTTGTCTGAATACCAGAACCATGGTGAAACATGGCATGTTGGGATATTGTGAATCGCCATGGAGAACCACTGGTTCGTTCTATGGTTTTCATTTCAGCATTGCTTCTCATTATGTGTGAAGTTGGTTGCAATGCTTTTCCATGGTTTCCTTGATTTGGCCGGTGAGCTTGGCAGTGTAAGGTCCAGAGTGTGGCAGAAAGCAACTAAGTTTGGAATGCTGCAACCAGGGCACAGGTACAAGGTGGAGCCCTGAAGCAGGTTCAGAACACCAGAAGCAAAAGGCGCATTTGTTTAACAGTCCAGGGAGACAATAGATCCAAGCAAACACAGTCCAAAGGAACAGTCCAAGAGTACAGGCCAAAGGTCAATTCCAGAAAGACAGTCACATTAAAAAGCTATAAAAAGAAAAAGAAAAAGAAAAAGAAAAAGAAAAAGAAAAAGAAAAAGAGAAAGAAAGAAAGAAAGAAAGAAAGAAAGAAAGAAAGAAAGAAAGAAAGAAAGAAAGAGGTGAGGGCAGGGAGGAAGGGTGCAGGTACCTGGGAATCAGGGTCTGTCAGGATCTGGACAGAATTCCTTCAGAATTCCTCCTGCTGGCCAAATGCCAAAATAACATCCCTGCTAATTGCAGGATTAGTCTCAGGCTCTGCTGCAGCTGCCTTCATGAACACCACCTGGAAGAAGAGCTATTTAAGAAGTGGCTCTTCCCTCAGACGCTGCCTTAGCTGCATTGGTTTCTAGTATGCTGAAGCTTTCTGTAGTGTCTGGATCCTAGTCCTATTCTAAAGGTATCCTTGCTCTTGTGCTCCTGACCTCTGGCTTGTTTTGACTATGGCTTGCTGTCTGGACTATACTTTGTTTGCTTTCCCGTTTGCCCTTGGCTTGCTCTGGATAATGACTTGGATTTGGCTGGGGATGGGTCCTGATGCCTCTGCAGCCCACATCACAGCCCTTGTAGGCATGGACTGGAGTAAGGCAGATAGGGTATATGGGAAGGCACGAATTGGGGTTCAGGGGAGACAATGCAGAAAACCAGAACATAAAGGAGTCACAAAAACAGCCTATGTTGTTGTGGCAAAGAGCAGCAGTGCAGCCTTTTATACTGGTTTCCAGGCCCTCCCGTGGCACTGCAGAATTGTTCTTCAGCTGTTCCCTGCAAGCACCTGCACAAGCATTTCTGGTTCTGCAGGCACTTGCAGAATTACTCTGGCAAGAGTGACCATGGCTGCTCTAGCCCCCATTTTCTGTGGCCTTGGTGCCTAGCAGTGGTTGAGTTGCTGATGGGCGAGGCACTGATTGCTTGCCCCCAAGCTCCCTGTCCTCCCTTTCAACACATGCTCTCCAATGCAGTAGTACAGAAGAGTATTATATTCAAGGAATCATCATGAATTCATTCAAGCATCTGAAAATGCTGATGTAACACCAATTTTTAAAAAGACATTCAGGAGGGATCCAGGACATTGTAGGCCAGTTAGTATAACATCTGTTCTGAATAAATGGTTTGACAACATTATTAAAGATGAATCAGTAAATGCATAGTGGGACAAGCCCTGCTAGGAAAAAGAAAAATCAGCATGGTTTTTGCAAGGGGAAGTCTTATCTCACTTTTGAGATAAGGGGGAGTTCTTTGAGAGTATAAATGCATGGACGGGGGCAATCCAGTAGACATTGTTTACTTGACTTACCCTTATCCTAACAGTAACAACTTCACATGGCTTGTTCTAGAATGATTTCCTTCATGTTGGGAACATTAGCGAACAGTATTGCCCGACCTGGTTCTCTCCAGATGCTTTGGACTTCAACCATACCATTCCAAAGCATCTGAAGGGCATCAGGTTTGAAACGGCAGCTGTAGAAAGTAGTGCTATAACAGTGGAAGAAGAAATTAGTGTTTTTGAAAATGTTTTGGAGATGCTTGGACCACTCACCCTACGTTTCACATTTTTCAGCCACTTTTTCCATCAGCTAACAATATAGCATTTTCATAGCTTGAACTATTTTGTATTGGTTGTATATTTAAAAAGAAGGATAGCCTACAATATTTCTAAAATTACAGAAACAACATGTAATAAACAAAAAGCAACAGGGTACCAGTTAGATGCCCAAATGCCAATTCTTTTGGAATCCAAAATAGTAAGATTCAGGAATTAAAAGGTCCGGTGTCTTGTTCTCTATTTGGGAAATTCTGTGAGAAATGTTGGTTGTCCTCCCCACCACCCTCTCAGTAGGAATATGTACATTCTGTGCATATTGGGAGGGTTGAATTTGCTTTTCCAGAGGAGGGTCAAAAGCAGAAGGGAAACAGTCACTCACAGTTCCTCTACTAGATGAACATTCTTCGTGATGGGAAAGTTCCGTACTTGCCTAATTATGCTACCAAATCTTGGTGTCCTGGTGCTGGCTCAGGACATTTTGCTCCCTTAATGAAGCACCAGATGATGTCCAGAGAACAATACGAACAGCAATAGCATGAATCATTTGCACATCCATTTCTTCCTTTGTGCATCCTGCTTTCTGCAGGACAGGACTTTAAAAAATCATGGCTATCCTGGTAGAATGCTGCCCCTGAAAGGCACCTAGATTCTTCTGCCTAAAGGAACCTGTATCACCTTGCTGTACCTAAGGGCTTAAACCTGCCTGCCAACCAGTCAGGGCCAGCTCTGCCATACAGCAAAGTAAAGCAGCTGTTTCAGAAAGCAGCAAGGTGTTGAGGGAGAGAGTTGGGGGCCACATTGCCAGCTCTGTGTTCTCTAAAGTTCAGGAGCCAGGAAAGATGGTTGCATTGCAAGTGCTGAAGAAAGACTCTTCAGTCAGCCCGGCTATTGTACATGGAATAGGAGAAGGCATCTTCTTACCCTTTGCCTCAGCAAAACACTTTGGGTTGTAGCCCTGCAGAAGCTGTACTGTCTGAGATGTGGTCTGGGGTAAGATGACAGGCATCCAGATTTTGCTCTGCACACTCTGGTCTGTATGGACCAATTACTACAATACTGCTGTTTCATGTCGTCTTAACAGATATTTTTTTAATGAAGAGGCTAATTGTTAGGATGCAATATAATTCCCAGGGAATTGCATTCACGGCCAAAATTGATTTGCATCTTTACTAGTTACCTTGACCTATCTTTTGTTGCCCTATTTTTCTGCACATAAGATTTAGCCTGATAGTGAAGCAATTCTTACTTTTTCTAAACCAGAGGATGCATTTGACATAATTAGAAACCAATTTTATGATACATGGCCCAGAGTTTTTCTGCCCTTCAAGATTAAAGTTACTTGTCTCACATACCTTCAAACATGCATACACATGCACAATTTCATGTGTTCTGAGACTCCTATGTCTAATGCAAAATTCCCACAGAAGTAACTGTACCATACTAACATTTTTTCCTAGTAGATTGCTGTGCTTTTCACAGTTGCCTGCAATGCAGGTATTTCGCAGATTGAACTTCTCTCTGTGAAAGGAATTTGCATGACATGCTAAATTTCTGCAAGTCTAAAAGATGGAAGAGCCTGGCAAAAGAGAAGTTGGCAGCTTTGTCAGACTGGCATTGTAGGTTGTGTGTTGGTGTCAGAGGATAATGCTCTAAAGTTATGTCTCTTCCCAAGAAGATGCATTTATTCTTCGAAATTGTGAAGGTGTCGTATCAATCATAAAAAATTGTTTGAGTTGTAGTTTCATGATCATACTGATTAACAAAGATTGAAAAAAGGTGCATTACTGTGAAAACCACTACAGCATGTATTTTTAACAGCTCCATAGGGAGCTTGTTAATGAAAGAAGAAAGCGCTACAGAAGCCAAATAGATGGTTTTTAAACAGCATTCTCATATAACATATGAAGGAACTGTCATAAGAGGAAATGTGTCCATTGTGTCTGTTCACAACTTTAATTACTGTCTCCTTAAAAAAACATTACTTTTAATTGTTAGTTCTTCTATCATATTTCACTACAAAAGTTTGTTCAGTGTAGGCTAGTGCAAGAATGAGGAATCTTAGCTTTTCATCTGTTGCCCGACTACAGCCCTCGTCACCCCACATTGACTAGGGCTGAAAGTAGTTCATGTTTGATGGAAGCTGCCTTGAGCCCTTTGTAGGAAAAAGGCAGGATAGAAATCGGAAAATAAATAGCCCTCAGCTACAGCCTACCCCAGTACCTGACCCCTGCTTCCTTCAAGTGTTTGTGCATGAAAGTGTGAGAAAAAGAATGTATTAAGGAAGCACAGGAACTTGAATTTCCTCACCCTACTGCCACTAAACTAATTCATGTTCTTGTTGCTAATAGATATTTTTCCACATAGATATCACTACTATTGTTTGATTCCGTTTTTTTTCCTTAATTTTGCTGTAGCGTCTATGACCCTGACAGAAATATGCTGCGCAGAAAAGAATGGGAAAGAAGAAATCAGGAGACCCAGCATGAAGATGGACTGTTTAATGCTAGTTACTCTCTCTTCAGTGAACCTTACAAGGTATGTATTTTTACTAGATAGCCCACCCTTTTGTTCAGCTGTTCCCAGACTGTGGTAAAATAGGTAAGTTCATACTTCTGAAGAGGCAACTGTTTGTTTGTGGAAGGGAATTGGTGATGAGAGAAACTGCTATTTAAATTTCCCCCTGCAGATGCTTGTTCAGCCTTTTCCTGAAAACTGCAAAGGAAGGAGATGGCGCAACTCTGTTGATAATTTATTCTCTTGTTGAGCTATCCTTATCATTGGGATTCTTCAAATATATTCTCTAAATTTTTAGGGTGTTTATATTTTATTCCAACTATCAGCTTGTAAAAGCTGGGCCTATTTCTTTGTTCATGTAACTGATGACAGTACTGAATGGTGCCATATCCGAACTAATCAAAAATTGTGGCTATGTAGCTATCTGCTAGCTCTCGTATTGTGTCTCTGGCTTCCAAATGGATATACTTAGCTATGGCCACAGTTGCTTCAAAGAGATGCTAGTAGGACCTGAAGCTAGGCCAGAATAATGAATTGTGCTTCCTAGGTACAGAAATGAAGACAAGCCCGGGTTGCCAACAGCCCAGAGATAAAAGGGAAAAAGAGGCCCTGAACACAGGAAAGAAGCAAATGATTCCTCATACTGAGGCATCGCTATTGGCCAATGTTTACAAGGAGATATGCTTTTTAGTCTGTGATGGGGTATGGATGGAGAATGGGCCACCCACTACCAAATTCCTGAGCCAGGCCTGGAAAAGGGCGGGGGGGGGGGTGAGGGAAGAAGAGCATACACCTGGAAGGGCTCCTGGAATTGAGTTAATACAGAGAATGCCTGAAGTAATATTTCATTATTAAAAGAAATTATGGTATACTGGGTTGGTGTATGTGTCTATACCCTAATAAAACTGTATTCTAGAAAAGTTTTCTTCAGGGTCTTTACAATTAATAATTTTGATTATGCAGCACATTTGTGAAGTGAATCCCAGCACCATAACAATTTGGGCCAATAAAAGCAAGAACATAAATTATTTTGTATGTTCTATTTTAATTGGTCATTAGACATAGGCTGCAGGAGATACTTTTGTAGACTACCATAATGAACTGGCTTCACAAAGCTTGCATTAATATTGATGTCTTGTTGAGTTTTAGATGCCTAATTTTCAAAGTGCTGTACATGAAAAATAGGGCAGTATTATATTCAGCTTGTTTTGGAAGAAATTAAAATTAAAGTAAGTTAGTACTCTACTGTGATTTATTTTTCTCATTTTTGGTACAAGTCCTACACTGGTTCTGTTGTAAAGATATGCATGCATAATTTGAACTATAGTTTATCTCTTCCTTTGGTAACTAGCCCCATCTACTTCCCCAAGATCATCTTGTAGTTAAACATATCTTACCATTGTTTCAAAGATCAGGCTGAGTGCCCTGCTTTGACTTTTTTTCTTAAAGATCTTCCCCAAGAAGGTCCCTTGTTACCTAAATTGACCACAGAACCCAAGAAGCTTTCCGCTGTGCTGCCAGGCAACATTCATGTCATCTTCTCAGCTTGCCTCTTGTCCTTTTTTGTGCTTTGTGCTAGGTCTGAACTAGAGTAAGCAAATGATTTTCCTGGGCCAAGTAAGACATGCTGTATTGCTTCCCATGCATTTTGTTGTGTCTTCTCTGTCGTCTACAAGACATTTATCATATCTCACAGTCCATTAGGGTAGGCAGGAAAATCTTGTATTTAGAAAGAGGCCTGTGCAGACCTCCTCTTTCCACTACCTAAAACTGGTTGTGACTGAAGTGTATGTAAGTACATGCCCCATATGCTACCAACTCAGTGTTGCCAGTAAACACCAGTTCATAGCATAGGCTGGGAAACAAGCAAAGGGGGAGAGTGTTGGCCACTAGGTAATATATTTATATGACATAATGTCCAAAGACTTCTCATAGCTTTTCATTTCCAAAGGAAATGGACACAGTACAAGGCACTAATTCTGTTGTATATGTGGTCCCCACTGTTTGTGCATTGGTGATTTCGTGCTTCCAAGGGTAACCCAAAATGAGCAGATATGTGTGATTCCACTTGTGCAATGACATTGGTGACTGTGGGAGTGCAAATGCCCCACTGCCATCTGTTAAATGTAAAATATTTGATGACCTCGGACAATAAAGCATCTTTATCTGATTCTTGATCTATTTTGTCATGAAATTGTTGTATAACCATGAAACAATCTTCAGTTGGTTTTTTCGGTCACAGAATAACTCTTTATTGCTTATTTGCTTTATAGACTAACAAAGGGGATGAACTCTCAAGCCGCATCCAGAATACCCTGGGCAACTATGATGAAATGAAAGAGCTGTTGACTGATCGATCCAATCAAAGCCACCTTGTTGGTGTCCCAAAGCCCTGTATCCCACAAGCAGCTGTGAATAAAGCTGAGGAACACTTTATTGCTGACTCGAATTCCCACTCTCAGGCTGCTATTTGCAGCCCTCCATCTTCCTTGCCAGTGGCACTTTCAGGACAGCTGAGCAAGAACACAGCAATGGGTTGGCAGAAGTCAGCACACAGTTTGGAGAGCCAGCAAAAAGGAAGCAAGCATAGGCATGGCTTGCCAGATTCACACAGTGATGACTTCAAAACAGCTAATCAGAAGAACACTTTGGAAAACATTAAGCATTACACATCCAGTACATCTTCACCATCTTCATCCAGTGCTGCCCAGTGTCTCTTACCATCATCACATGGTGACAGCATCCGAACCCAGCCACCACCAAAGCTGAGTTGTAGTGCAGAAGTTGGAATCCAGGCTCAAGAACGGCATAGCAGTGGGCACTGCGTACAGAACTTTCCATCATCCCTTGCTTCAAAGTCTAATATAGTTCAGCAGAAACCAACAGCTTATGTAAGGCCAATGGATGGCCAAGATCAGGCTCCTGATGAATCTCCAAGACTGAAGGTGTTGGCTGAAACTAGCATGCTCTGCACCTCATATAGAGGGATACCATCTTCTAAAGCAGATTCAACTAGGAGCAAGACAAAAATAACAAAATGTAATATTTCCAAACAAGAAGAGGTAAGTGTTGCTGAATTAAGATGCACTATTGACATATTGGTATTAAGAACTGAGACTAAAATTCTACATAGACCTTTTCACAGCAGCCAGTTGGGTAAGATTAAAAGCTAGAAAGGTATGTTGTCCCCAATACCATGCTTGAAGATTGATTACTTTTTATACACAGTATTAAGTGTTTTGACTAGTAAAATCTGTTTGAAATCGTTGTCTCCATTTAGCCAATTCCTTCAGTGCTTCTCTTGTATGATTTTTAGTGTTGATTACTAATTTCAAAGAATATGAAGACATTTTACTTCAAGCATCTACAATGAATTGAAGCATTTAAGATCTGAAAGAGGTTATCATTTTTGTAAGAAATCAGTATGCTTTTCAGGGCAACAAGTCTTCTGAATGCATCACAACTGTTCTACATTGCTGGTAACACCCAAAGGGTAAACTTTGGTTGCTGGCAAAACTTGATTTCTGTCCTTCCTCCACCCAAACTACTAGTCCGTGATGTGTGTGTGTGTGTGTACTCCTTGCATGGTTGCCAAGGACACACAATGCTTGTGTCATGCCAATGATATCAGATATGCAATCCCTTTTTTCACAGCCCATGACTGAGTTTTACATTGCAATGCTGTACATATTTATACCAAAGTAAATCCCATTACATTCAATGAGACTTAATTTCAGGTGAAAGATTACAGAGTGGCTAACAAAATAAAAAATCGAGATCTTACAGCAGCTCCCATTTTTCATGGTGCTCACGTTAGTGACCTGTGCACAGATGGCTGTTACAGAGCATAGATGAACCTATGTATACGTTATGGTGTTCGCTAAGGCCCTCTTGCAGCTGCTTTCTCCGAAGGAGGCTCAGAGGGCAGCAGTGAAAGGGGGGTCTTAGTTGGTGCCCATTTGCCCAATGATGGAGTGATTTTTTCCTCAACAAGACCTGTCTGGCACTCGCATTGTTTTTTTCAGTGCTAGGTTAAGAACTTCTGCTTGTCTATGTATGTATGTATGTCTCTAAGTTCAGATGTTTGCATGCATATGATTTTTATAATGTATCTTTAAGGTTTTAATGTTTGTAAAATTAAACCACCTAGAGAGCTTCAGCTAAATTTAAGAAAGGAATGAATGCAATCTTCCAAAGTGTTCCATTTGCTCTGGATGAGTGAGGTATATTCCCATGCAATCAGCATTTACTTTATTTATATAGTTTAAGTGTTCCAGCTGTTGGGCAGAGCATGCTTTCTGTGTGGCAACTTGTTCCTATTACATAACTTTGAAACACTTGGATTTGGCTGAATTTGTAGAATACAGAAAAGGAGGTGCTCCATGAGTTATTAAGGGAATTAGACTGGACAAACAATAAATGGAGCTATATAAGCCATCCTGGCTTCCTCATAAGAGAGGGAAAAAGTGGGATATAAATGTGATGGTGACGATGATGATGCAAGTAGAAAGCAGGTATGACTTCTCTAGACTTTGAGTATAGTTGTGAGCTTCACTCTTCTAAGCCAAGTTTGGAAGATGACATAAAATGGTAGTTTGCTTTCTTTCTTCACAAAAAACAAAAAGGGATATGTGGCATATCTCTCTGTATGTATTTATGTATCTATATTTTAATTATATACTTCAGATGTCCTGAAAGTAAAACTGTAATAAGATATGCTTAGTTAAATCTTTGTTTTTCCATGTTTGCAATTTTTGAGAAGTTGCTTCAGGATCTAAATATCTTGAGAGTTTTGATATTGTTTTTCAAACCTGTTTGTATACCTTAGAGTGACTTTTTTACAAGTTTGAAGCTGGAGGTATAAACAAACTCAAAATTATACCAGGTCCATAATTTGAAAAGAAAGCAACCTAAAGGTATATGTTTCTGTATGATACAAAATCCTTTTCCATGTATGTCTGGAGGCTTTCATATGTGCAGGCCATGAAGTTGACTTCAGTATAAATGAATCAATGAAACAGCACTTGAATACAAATTATAGGCGATTACTTTTAAATATGCAGGAAAGGTTGATTTCCCGTGTAGTTCAGTTCCTCGTTTAATATTGTTAATCAGCTTTGGACAGCTCTCAATATCTTGACATAAAATGAATCTTATAATGATTTCCAAAAATTGTTTTAATGGGAATACCCTAGGTATACTTTATGTATAAAGGTGTCAAGTGTTCATTCAGGAATTAATTTTTAGGAGTCAGTTTCATCAGTATTAATAAGAATTCATATCCGACCTCATAGACCTTCCAGAAATCATCCTACTTTTCAGTGTAAATGATACTCTCTCATCTCAAGTGCTGCTGTTTCCCATTTAGAATTTTATTGTAAGCTGCCTATGAATTATATTATTAGAGTGAAGGTCTGATGTGCTGAAGAGAGAAATCATAAAGCATAAAATACACCACAGAGATACACTTGTTCCCAGCATGGGTTTTCAAAAAATTATTTGTTCTAGCTTCTTATTTTCATTTATCATGGACTTCTGATTTATAAATTTTTTAACTAGAGGAAAAACCCCAAAACCAGTGTCAAGATTCAAAACAGGCATTCATTTCCATTAATTTAAGTGCCTGTATTTTAAATACTGACAATGCTATTCTATACATATCTACTTAAGCAAGTGATTAAAGATTCACATATAAGCATGCATACGTGGCAGTAGGAACATGTGAGTAATTTGCTCCAGTGTTGTGTTCTTGCATAAATTTTACAGATTCATGAAGTTTTCTTCTGGCCCCAAGTATGGATCCAAATGTAATTTGACATTGAAAATCCACATATCTGAGCTTGTAATGCATTCCAAAAAATGCCATTAATAACCTGCAAAAACAGTTGAAAGATGTCTAAAGAAAAACTCAGACAAACACAATCTGGTTTAACAAGTGCATGTGTCAAAGTATATTTAAAATGTGCATACAAAACATGTACATATTACAAAAAATGCATACAGATTTCTGTATGGATTTCAAAACGTATTGGGTCTGATTTTCTGCTCCATTGGAAGACATCCTATGATCTTTTATTCCAACATGGCAGCAATACTGCAATGTTTTTTTCTAAATCAGACTAAATAATTGTTATTTCTGAGTACCAATCTGTACTCAGATCAACCCTGTTGATCTGTTGTTCCACTTCCTTGGCTTAGTATAGTAGCCCAAGGAATGCTGGATTTAGATCCTGATTAACTCTGCTTTGTTAATCTCTTTTTGCTGAGTTTGAGCAGATGTTGCTGTGTTACAGAGCTTGATTGCAGTGTACACTGTAAATCTTGTGGTATTTTGGGGTAAAAGATAGATGCAGGCAGGCATAGGTAGCATTCTGTCAACTTCTGAGGTAGGGCAGCACTCATTGATCCATTATGGGTTGTTCTGGAGAAAGTAGACTTGCGAGGACTAGTCTAGGCTCAAGTGGATGGAAATCACTGAAGTCCTGATGGAATTTAGTCAGGGCCTCCTGTGCATGAGTCCAGGTAATAAGTATGTAGCCAGTGAATCTCAGGCACAGAAGTTTTTGGGGACAGGATCTGATAAAACAGTGTTCTAAGTAAGCCATGAAAAAGTGAGCTTATCTTCAAATGGTACACTGTATGCAATCTTCGAATCAATGGTGCTGCCACACTTAGCTTATCTCTCTAAAGTTGCAATAAGTTGCAGAATTTGGTGGTCTGATGTGCCGTAACCCTATTTGGAATGTCTGAAGTCCCTCTCAGAGTTCATAGCTTCGATCTTATGTTACTAATAGTCAAAGCTAAATAAACTTTCTGAAGAAATGTCAAACTGCCATCCTAGCTACCATGGACGTCGAGGCTCTTAACACCACTCTGTCCCCATAAAGATGCATTGCAAACCATCACAAGCATCATTCTAGATAGGGCTATAGTATGCCTAAATTCCAAACTGCCGTTTTGTACTTATCTACAAATACTTCAATTTTCAGCATTAATCGTACACTAAATAGAAAGTGTTTACAGAGTTTTTTTAACAAAATTTTAATAAGATAGAACAAGGAACAAAGTGGAGGAAGGATCAGGTCAAAGGACCATAGTCCTTCACAACCTCAACAGATATTCCAATCTCTTTCTGGACTTTACCTGTGAACAAACCCATGAACATCAGTAGGAATGGCAGTAGGAGCAACATGGAAACTGCCCAGCAGCCTGTCCGGTTCTGCCTGGTTGGAATGGCATATTCATTCCTCTTTCACTTACTGAGTTTGTAGATCACTGAAGCAAAATTGAGAAAATTTGGGACTCAATTTCTGCTTAATCAATTTGTAGTGGGGATCTTATCTCTATAGTGCACATTAAAATAACTGAAGTTGTATTTCTACCTTTTTAATACTGTTATCTAGTATGCCTGGTGCCAAGTTTATATTCTTTTCGGCGCTAGGCCAAAACCTTTTTATTTAATCGTTATTTTAAAAATTAGCATGTTTAGTGGTTCACAGTCACTTTTGATCTGATTTATCTGCATTGGTTTATAGTAATTTTATTGTACTGTTTTATTGATTGTTTTTATGACTATTGGTTTTAATCTTGTAAGCCGTCCTAAGAAGCGATAGTGAAGGACGGCATATAAATGTTTTAAATAAATAGATAAATCCAGTGACTAAACCATTTACCAGTTTTAACATGCTCACTTATTGCAGAAATGACTTGCACCTCCAACACATTTACAAGTTTGTCTACATTGTGCTTGATGCCTCTCCGTAAGTCAGGTTTTAGGCTTCCAAAATATATAAACTGGCTATTTCATGAAGTTAATGGTGTGCTACCTGGAACTCTAAATAATGCTTCAAGTGAACATTGTGACAACTGACATTTATGATCAGCCATGATATATTATGCAGTTAATTTCAATTCAGAATTTCCATCCTTGTACAAAAGGATAGCAAATAATTTGCAATAGAGTTGAGATAAATGTAAGCCATACTTTCTTGCAGTGAGAAAGAAAGATCAAATCCTAATTGAACATCTTATATACTGATAGTCCCTTCTTTCCATAAATGAA